GGCAAAGAGGGAGGACGGCAGAAGAGCAGATGAAGCAGTGGGAGATAGGAGAGGATTGTCAGGAGAGCAGTGGAGGGGAGAAAAGGGGGAGTGAAGGGGAGAAAAGGGAGAGTGGAGGGGAGAAAAGGGAGAGTAGAGTGGAGGGGAGAAAAGGGAGAGTGGAAGGAGCGTGATGGCAGCAGGTGTGGTGCTGTTGCTGGGGTGGAGGGGATTCAATTCAAACAAAAGAGGGGGGCCGGTAGGCATGCAGTTGGGCGCGCACATGCAGGTAGCAGGTGTGGGGCTGTTGCTGTCTGTGTTTGTCACAAAAAGAGCAGGAGGAGCGTGCAGGTAGGTGGACCTAGGTATAGACATGAGCAACGAGTCAAGTCATTTACTCGACTCGATTTTGTTACTCGTTTTGGGTGAGTAACGAGTCGGCCTTTTCCAGAAAATAACTCGCACGAGATCGAGTCAGTAAATGATTACTCGCAGTTTACTCGTTTTTTAAAACAAAGAATTTGTTACTCGGTTTCGACTCCTGTTTAGCTCAAAACGAGTCGATTATTACTTGCTCCAAAACGAGTATTTCATTACTCGGTCCGAACAATGAAATACTCGTTCTTTTCACGAGTAGCGAGTCGGGTCTTGGGGTAAAATTACTCGGGCGAGTAATACTCGACTCGACTCGTTTGCAAAACGAGTCGGCTGAAAATGAGTCGAGTATTACTCGTTTTGGCGTTTGCTCATCCTATACCTAGGTAGGAGGTAGGTGGATCTAGGTAGGTGGACCATGGGAAAAGAGATGTGCGTGGTGTGCGAGAATACGTGGATGGTGGAACTGACAGATGCGCAGGAATATGAGGGAGGTGCGCAAAGAAGGGAATTGCATGAGAGAAGAGAGGGGTGCATGGTAGAATAAATGGAACTGACATGTCTAAGGGAGAAGACAATCCCTCTGTGGAATCAAGCACTGACTGAGGGATTTGATTGCAAAACTTGAAATCACTGAAGGCAACACACAAAGATGGTGGAAGGGCAGGAGACACAAGGGTGGATGGGTGGAGATAATAGGGGTAAGGGGAAAGGGTTGAAATAGGCAAGGCAGGACCAGGCGTGTTTAGAAAATAAAATGTAAGTCAGCACAAGCAGCGAGATTTATTACAAGCAAGGGCAAGTGAGTGGGGGCAAGAGGGTGAAGGAACGACTGAGGGCCAGTGGGGGAGGGAGAGTGCGAGAGCACGTGTCTCACAGTTGCTTGAGATATGGCAATGCGAGGAGAGCAGAGGGCAGGGTGCCGACGAGGGTGCACGAGTAAATGGAGCTGTGGTGTGGTGTGTGTGTTGTGGGAGAAGAGAAGGATGCTATGAAATGAAAGGAAGGTAAACTGAGGTCAAATCAAGAGATAATTTCACAGATGAGAAGTGATTGAAATCAGACGCAAGGAATGCATGGTATACAGTGAAATGACGTGCTTCTTCCAGTGCAATGACATGCTTACAGTGCAATGACATGCTTACAGTGCAATGACATGCTTACAGTGCAATGACATGCTTACAGTGCAATGGCATGCTTACAGTGCAATGGCATGCTTACAGTGCAATGGCATGCTTACAGTGCAATGACATGCTTACAGTGCAATGACATGCTTACAGTGCAATGACATGCTTACAGTGCAATGACATGCTTACAGTGCAATGACATGCTTACAGTGCAATGACATGCTTACAGTGCAATGACATGCTTACAGTGCAATGACATGCTTACAGTGCAATGACATGCTTACAGTGCAATGACATGCTTACAGTGCAATGACATGCTTACAGTGCAATGACATGCTTACAGTGCAATGACATGCCCATCGCCATCACACTCCACGGATTCCATGTTGTCGCAATCCCTGCCCTTCATCCATGTGTCCCTACCATGGACCTCGTTCCATTCTTGTGCCAGATTCTCCAAAGCTTCAACTGCCATCCATTCATGCCATTCATGCATGCCGTACAACCCCGGCAATGCAATGCAGCATGCCATGCCACAGAATATGTTAAGATTATTCCGAGGGAAGAGGCGAGAGGAACAGAGAGACGGTAGGGATGATTGAGGTGGGGACGGCAGGAGGGACAGCTACAGTATAACACCTCGCTACCCACTGGGTCACAACGCGCACAAGCAGTGAAGGTTAGTTGCCGGAACGGACTTCATGTTAGCATGCTGAATAGGGTTACGGTCCTGGGGCGGCGGTATGGCACATGGCACGGCTGTTTACTGCCAGGGACCTCTCGCTGTCAAAAGGAGGATGTGGAGGGAATCAATTGCGTGCATCACGGCTTACTCTCGGCTTAACGGCTTACTCTCGGCGTCCACCACGGGAGCAGCGCGTGCGAGGGGCATGCAGCAGCGCGCCACCACCAGCGCCACCACCGCCGCTCTCGCCGCCATCAGCACGTCGCCGCGCCTCCCCATCGCCGCGGCGCAACGCGGCCCCATCGATGCTCTCCGCGCGCGCTGCCCGCCGTGTGCTCGTGCCGACGCCCAAACACCCCTCCCCCCCCCCCCACGGCCGGCGAACGTGTCGGACTTGCCCGAACGCCCTGCACGCACGCCTGCCCGGCGAACGTGGCCCTGCACGCGGCACGCCTTGCCCAAACGCGCGTGAGCCGTACGGTGGAGCTTCGTTGCTGTTGCGTGCTCGTGAGCCGTTGCGAGTGCGCGTTGCTAGGATTAACTGTGACTGCAAGATGATTCTAAATCTCGTTCACTGATTCAACCGCAAGGCGAGGCGACTGGTGCGAAATACTGATACTGAGCAAATAATTCTTGTCGTTGCCTTCATCGCGAACATGCTGTGTGATGGAGGGGTGTGGGGGAACAGCCAGCCTGGAATAGCTCGCGCAAGGTACAGTATTGGCTTGTTCACCTACCACTAACCTTTTGGACATGTGCAAACAGCTCTGAACCGCACACTATCGTCGGCGTACTTTGAATCGGTCCTGAAGAATTCGACGACTCGGGGTGACCAGTGTGGTTGGTGGTGTGGGGGAAAGCGTTATGGTCGAGAGTTTAACGCGTTACAGCTAAACGCCAGACATAGGGTCGTGTCCTTATTTCATAATACTTCAATGTTAGTCCATTAGGCCAAATTAGCTATGTGGGTGAAGGCTTTCAAGATAAATATATTTGCATAATGTGTGAAGAATTATTAGAGTTACGGAATTCATCATTCTGGGGGAAACAACATCAAGCACGAACGTTGAGAATAATTTCTAGGACATGCAGTGTTAGGATCGGTGTATGGACGGAGGAAGCCAAGATTTATGTTATGTTTTATGCAGTAAACAAACACAGTGGAGCATAAAATCGAGCATACAACAATATCGTACTTATGATATCATGCCGATACGAAAAATGAAGGTGCATAACTTGTTACCAATATCACTCCCGTATTCAAGTGGGGCAATGACAAGTGATCTCCACACCCATGGCAGCTTGCCGGGCAGCAAGGGCTCTCTTTGAAAAGAAGTATCGTGTGGGGGGCCGATTCTTGCGGCGCCTCAGAAACGCCAGTGACAACGCCAACGCGAGCTGCAACAGCACCGCCAGTGGAAGCAGCTGCAGCAGCAGCAGCAGGTTTGGAGGTGCCTGGAGAACGGAGAGAGCTTCCTCCATCACTGCAGTGTCTGGTGGCTCACAGGGTGGGTTGGTGGATGCAGGGTGGATGAGGAGAGGGAGGGAGGGTGGGAGGAGCATATTGGAGGATGAGTGCTGGATATTGGTCGAGAGCAAGCAGGCATCAGGGAGGCTTTGGTGGACGGGAGGGAAAAGATGCAGATAGAACAACCTTATCGTGCGATAAAGAACAGAAGAAGACAGCACCAGAGGAAAGAGAAGAAAGACAAGATGCAGGTTTGGACGGGCGTATGGTTGAAAAGGAACATACACAAGCTGCGCTGCTGTGAAGGTTCGTCTCCACTGATGGCTTCTAGGGGGAGAGGGCTTTCGGTGGCTGTGAGGTCGCTGTAGCTCCGTGGAAATATGTTGAGATGGGCAGTATGGTCGAACGAGGGCAGCTCTCCCGTGAACTGGTTGCCCTCAAAGTCGCTGTGATGCCAAGGGAAGGTGGGAGGGGAAGATTGGGAAGGAAGAGGAGTGGCGGGGAACGAGAATGAAAAAGAGAGATTGAAGGGAAAGAGGGGGTGATAGAAAAGGAGATGGTTTTTCTAACCTGTGTGAGATGGACTTTTGAGCCGTCGATTCCACTTTCTGTGTTGTCAACACTGGGTGCAATCAGCTGACGTGCTTGAGATTTGATTCCTCTAACATCTCTTGTGAGGTGTAACGAGGAGGGAACACTGACAGGTACACGAGATTAGTGAGCGTGGTGATTGCAGCAGGCACCGTCCCTGAAAGGCGATTGTTGCCAAGTGCACTGAAGAGGGGTGGATGATGGGACATGGCGAGAAGGAAAAAAACAGAGGGATTGAAGGGAAAGAAAGATTGAATTGAAAGAGAGATTGAAGGGAAAGAGGGGGTGATAGGAAAGGAGATGGTTCTTTCTGTCTAAGCTGTGTGAGATGGACTTTAGAGCCGTCGATTCCACTTTCTGTGTTGTCAACACTGGGTGCAATCAGCTGACGTGCTTGAGATTTGATTCCTCTAACATCTCTTGTTAGGCGTAACGAGGAGGGAACACTGACAGGAACACGAGTTTAGTGAGCGTGGTGATTGCGGCAGGCACCGTCCCTGAAAGGCGATTGTTGCCAAGTGCACTGAAGAGGGGTGGATAATGGGACATGGAGAGAAGGAAAGAAACAGAGGGTAAGAGGGGAAGAGGTGAAGAGGCAGAGGAGGAGAGGAGTGTGAGTGCTGTAGCTGAAAGGAGTTTACTTTGAGAAAAACACATCCATTCAACACCATGCGACAAGATCGCTGTCCTACCCAACCTCTCATATTCCCCATGCTTGGTAGGGAGAGGTGGAAAGAAGGGATGGAGAGGGGGGGTGGAGGGAGAATGGGCGCACAGGTAGCTGAGTCCTTGGAGGTGGGCAATGGAGGCGGGAATGGTGCCACTCAGGTTGTTGCTCTGTAAGTCCCTGGCATGCCATGGCATGGCATCGCATGGCATGGCATGGCATGGCATGGCATGGCATGGCATGGCATGGCATGGGATGGGATGGGATGGGATGGGATGGGATGGGATGGGATGTGATGGGATGGGATGGGATGGGATGGGATGGGATGGGATGGGATGGGATGGGATGGGATGGGATGGGATGGGATGGGATGGGATGGGATGGGATGGGATGGGATGGGATGGGATGGGATGGGACGGGACGGGATGGGATGGGATGGGATGGGATGGAATGGGATGGGATGGGATGGGATGGGATGGGATGGGATGGGATGGGATGGGATGGGATGGGATGGGATGGGATGGGATGGGATGGGATGGGATGGGATGGGATAAGACCATCGGAAATCGACGGTTAGAAGATTGGCGTGGAAACATTTCGGCCAAACAGAAAGCAGTGGCTGGCACGTGACGGAAGTTGAAAACCTTAAGTAGGGACCGTGTAGGCAGCTACCGCAGTAAGATGAGGATCAGGATGCGCATGTGTGGTTGAGTAGCTCTGATACAATGTAAGAACTGAAGGTAGAGTCAAAACATTATTGTAATGAGCTCAAGGCTCTTAACCACATCGGAAATTAGCAAGAATGGATGGGTAGAAAACCAGGGGCAATCCCCAATGAGATCGCCTGGAATCTCAAATTGGTGGGTTGTGGATTTTGTTATATCACATCTACAGGTGTCCAATCGAGCACCAATTAGGTGCCATGGTTTCAATACGTGGCAGCAACTCTTAGGAATGACACCTTGAAAGTTGTTTTGTGTGCTTGTGTAAAAAAGCTCTTGTAATGAGATTCTGTGGTAACTGGTTCCGTAAGGTTGGGATGTTGATGTAATGTAATGTTCAACCCTGGAAAACTACAACTACACTGAAATAGAATATGAAAAGGTACAAATACAAAGCTGAGACTCAAGGTTAACTCTAACATCACCCACTTTCTTTATCTCTCATCCTCTCACTCTCCCACCCTTTTACTCACTGAAGACTAACATGCATGATCACTCCACAGAACCCTACATCCCTTTCCCATAACCACTCACAACTCGCACAACTGAATGAGGTTGCTGATTGTCCCAGGAATGGAGCCTGAGAAAGCGTTGTCGTTGAGAAACCTGGGGGAATGTTTTTCAGCATGCCCGTGCATGCAGAACATTTGGGGGTTATTATCAGCTGATTAGATTTTCTTTTACTCTTACGGTAAAATTTTGCTGGCAGCGGGCAGAAGGGAAGGTTCAGCGACGTAAGGATGGACGCACAGGGTGATTAGTTCGGTGAGGTTGCCAATGAAGGCAGGAATGGTGCCACTCAGGCTGTTGGCCTGTAGGTCCCTGGCGTGGCATGGAAAGGATAGGATGGGATGGGACGGGATGGGATGGGATGGGATGGGATGGGATGGGATGGGATGGGATGGGATGGGATGGGATGGGATGGGATGGGATGGGATGGGATGGGATGGGATGGGATGGGATGGGATGGGATGGGATGGGATGGGATGGGATGGGATGGGATGGGATGGGATGGGATGGGATGGGATGGGATGGGATGGGATGGGATGGGATGGGATGGGATGGGATGGGATGGGATCTAAGTTGGAATATACGCTCAGACCCCAAAGCGTTTAGCGTATGTACGCTTGCGTTCAACGCAAAACGCTATACGCTAGCTAATACGCTATACGCTTTCAGATTTTTTTAGGGGCTGCCCGGGAAAAAAATTGTGTGTATACGGAAAGATGCGGAATTTCCTGGTGAGCATTTCGCCATAGCCGAGATGGAATTCGGGGGTCTAGGGAAGCGGGAATGTGCCTTACAATCGCGTTTGGCAGTTTAGATCTACAATTTGGATTAGTACCGCATTGAAACCCATCCCATCTACGAACTCCAACCTGTCAAAAATGTCCCCACAACAAACCCCACTCGACATTTCCACTAGTTTGCTTTCCCGCTTCCCAACAGAGCTCATCCCGATTAGTGTCTACTACGCATCCCACCCTAATCGCAGTTCAGACTTAGGAGAATGCTACGAAATTCTTAGTGGGAATATAGAATACCTTCCCGATGTTGAGCACGACATTTTTTAACCCTGCCCGGGAAAGTTTTTCCCCTGCCCGAAATAGCGTATGTCCAAACCAGCCCCTTAGCGGATAGCGTACATACGATAGCGTATATACGATACGCGGATATACGCTATACGCGTGTATTCCAACAAAGGATGGGATGGGATGGGATGGGATGGGATAAGATGGGGTTGCACCAAGGTTCAAAAATACGGCAATCGTAAATTACGGTCCGTAATTTACGGTTGTAAATTACGGTGGTTTTGGCAAAAATACGGCCGTATTTTTGTTGGACTTTTTTTTTTTTTTTTTTTTTTCAGAAAATTCTAGGCAGCTTACAACGATGACAGGGAAGCCTACAAGAAACTACACTACACTACTGAGGCAAATCTGCACCTATTCTATTCCCTCCTCTTCCTCCCTCCTACTCCTCCACCTCCTTCTACTCCTCCTGCACTCCACATCCTATCCTCCCTCCTCCTCCTCCTCCTCCTCCTCATCCTCCTCCTCCTCCTCCTCCTCGTCCTCCTCCTCCTCCTCCTCCTCCTCATCCTCCTCCTCCTCCTCATCCTCCTCCTCCTCCTCATCCTCCTCCTCCTCCTCATCCTCCTCCTCCTCATCCTCCTCCTCCTCCTCCTCCACATTCTTCTTTCCTCTCCCCTTCCGCTTGCATGGCCCCTTTCCCTTCTGCTTTTTCTTCCTCTTGGTGCTCTCTCCCGCGCGCTTCTTCTTCTTCTTACCAATGCTCCCAAAGATGCTCCAGTCGATGGTGCACTCCTGCACCTCGGCTCCCTCCTCCTCCTCAGCCCCATCATCATCCTCTTCCACTGGTGCGGGCGGGGGAACGGCAATGCCCTCTTTGAGGGTTCCGTCGGTGAGATCAGCGTACAACTTCGCACGCGCCTGCGTTTTGCGATCAAACGCATCGCGGGCCCTCCTCGTGAAGGCCACGAAGGTGACATCAGTCATCTTCTTGGCCGCGATGCGGTTCCGATCGCGCCTCTGCACTCGTGCAAGGGCGGACCAGTACCGCTCCACCTCTGACGAGGTGACTGGCTGTGAAAGGGTCGTCACAGCCAGCTCTTGGAGCGCTTGCACTTCCCCTCCGAAAATCCACCACCACTCCGCATCCGTCATGCGCCCCCCCTCCACCAAGGTCTTAGCTGCCCATAGAGCGTCATCCGACCCGAGGCGGCCCTCACCCTTGTGAAACTGCACCAGCTGTGTCTGCAGCTTGATGCGCTGGGCAACATCCCCCCCCCAGGCCTGAATCACCTCGTCGACCCTCTTCCTCAACTCCGCATCCGTTCTCACCTCCCCCGCATATTGGTTGCGGGGATTAAGAAGCCATCCGAGGGCATGCAGGGGGTTGTGGAGTTGCCCGTCCCAGCGCTTGGCAAGGATGCCCTTGATGGTTGCCATGAAGGTGCTCTTGTCCTTGGCCAAGAGCAGGCCTGTCTTCTTGAGGAAAACCGCCGCTGCTCACGGTGAGGATGGAGGAGGTGTTCGTTAACGTAGGGATTGGCATGCGCGGATTGATCTTCCATCACAGATTCGGAACAAGGAATAGAGAAACCAATAAAGAGCCTTGCACTTACCGACGGCCTCTGCAGCTACCCGGGTCTTGACCGTGATATCAATCATGAGGCCATAGATTTGGCCCATGACTTGCGCCCGCGTGTCAAACACCCTTAGCACTTCATAGACCGGCGTGAGGAGGCCGAGCACCGCAGAAACACAGTCCCAAAAGACGTCGTCTAGAAGAAGCGCCCGCACCTCCTGCCCTTCTTTCTTTTGCGCCACCGCCACCCCTTTCCATTCATCGCTAATGACCATGGCCTGGAGAGCCCTCTTCACCTCCAAGAATCGGCGTAGCATGATGACTTGCGTGCCGAACTGTGTCGCACCCGGCCGCACCAACGAAAGCTTGGTAAAAAGCTCGCGGAATAGAACGACGGCCGAGGCGCTGCCCTTGATCATCATGACGACTTGATGAACTTGCTCCAACACGAGTTTGACGGGCTTAACTTTCCCAAGGTCGTGAAGCATAAGATCCAAGCAGTGGGCGGCACAGTTGGCGAAGAAAACCCCGGGAAACTCCACCTTAAGCTTCTCAGCCGCGGATCGGTTGTTAGAGGCGTTGTCCATGATGACCTGGACCACGAGGTCTTTCCCCACTTCGGAGATGGAGTTCCCGATGAGACCCGCGAGGTAATCTCCTGTTTTCTTCGCGGTTTTCGAGTCGACGATGTCCACAATGACGGGCGCGGTGTTGTTGTGGGCGATGACGCACACGATCGCGCGGGACTTCATGCACGTCCACCCGTCCACCAAGAGACTGCACCCGGTCGTCTTCCAACTCTCCTTCAACGGCCTTACAAGCTCCTCGGCGTCCGCCCTTAGCTTGTCAAGGAGAGATCCGGACACCTTGTAAGGGGTTGGGAGTGTGTAGGGCTTCGCGAACACGACCGCGGCGTCAACGAAGGCCTGTAGCGCACGAGACTTGGAGACGTTGAAGGCAAGATAATTTTCAGCCACAACTGCCGGCCACAGGTAGTCCAAACGCGCGCGGGCAACGGAATCCGCCATATCGCGGATGTCCCGCTGCCTAGAACGCCTTGCGGGCTGCATCTCGACCGTAGTGGAGGTGGAGGCACGGTTGGAACTTGATGGTGTGGAGGACCGATCCCTTTCGGCGGCTTCACGAAGCCGCTTGGCAAACTCGGACGGACACGGCGTCACGTTCTTCTCCTTTGAGCGAGGGGTCCCGTAGATGTGCTCTCGAATACGAGTGGCATTTGGGGTCACGGTAGCAGGGCAATAGCTGCATGTCGCGGTGACTACGTCGTTAGGAGATGTGACCTTCGTCACGTGCTCCCACACCTCGGAGAAAGGTCTAACCATGGTGGAATACCGCACTTGACTGAAGCGGTAAATTGCCTACTAAGATCTACTTGTCGAGTAGGTTTATCGCCCTGCTCTTTGTACCTTGCTAGACTTGGTTGTGTTGCTTTGGCGAACGGAAAGGCAAGAAGGGGTGGGATGGGATGGGATGGGGATTGGTCTAACGCTATTGGTTAAAATTGTTTCGCAGCGCAAAGTTGGGATGTGTTGCGCAAAGTTAAAATAACGATGGGGCTGCGAATCATCCTATCGACCTGGCGAAACGGGTTGACGGGTGATCACGGGTCGCCAAATGTACAAATTACCGCATCGCGCAAATTTGTATATTTGCGCTTCGGCGAAATACAAAAACTGACATTTCGTCAAGGCAACAGAGCAGCAAAACGTTCGCCACAACACCAAATGTCGCGCCTCGAGAAATACCTGACATGCGCGACTCGGGAAAAAAAACCAACACGTGTGCATTTGGCCGCACAAATGTCTCAAATCCAGGGTGACGGTTGGGAAATGCCGAAATTCGCTATTGCAAACTCGGTATCAAAATTTCGGTCGTAATTTACGACCGTATTTTTAAACCAACATTAAAATACAACAATTGACCGTTTTTTACCGTAATTTACGACCGTAATTTACGATACCGTAATTTACGGCAATTTCTCAAAAAAACGGTCGTATTTTTGAACCTTGGGTTGCACAAACAAGCCACAGCATGAGCTACAGCATGAGCTGCAGCATGTGCAGTATGCTTTTGAGTCGACTCAAGTGCTGAGGCTCACCATGAAAACAAATTACTGGATAGTCCGAAACAAGGATCAAGAGGCTGGTCTTGGAATCCAAATCACTCACTCATTGCCAGATGAAAAGACTCCACGCACACAGATCGCCCTGGCTACTAGCCCATATGGACGCCTAGCCCATATGGACGCCTAGCCTATATGGATTCCTCCTCTCGCACCCTCACTCATTCATCCACTCACTTATTCCCTGGATTTATTGCTCACTCGTGCAACGCAGCACCTCACTCACAGTTTCACCCTCTCCGCGCAGACCCCCCTGTAAGACAAAGGCAACAATCTCTCAGCTTGTACTCTTTTTTTTTTTTAAGAGTGGAGTCTCTGTTTGTCTTGGGTTGGGTGCTAGACCAAACCCAAGCGCGACCAAACCCAAGCGCGACCAAACCCTATATTCTGAAATCTCCAACCCACTACTGGAGGTTTCAACAGATCTCATCACATTGCACATTGTCATCGGGTTCCCTTCCGTACCCATCCTTCTGAACTTATCCTCGATCTAATCAGAAGAGCCTCGAGCACCACAGCCTAATACACAACTCGAACGCGGTAAACCTACTCTACTCTATCTAGCCCAAGCTCCTTTCCAGATGGTTCCACCCCTCCTCTCTCTCAGCCTCTTACTTTCAACCACCCATTTGCTACCTCAGCAGGGACCTAGTGCGCTATCTATCACTTTGAATCCCTCCCTCCACTCCACTCCACTCCACTCCACTCCACTCCACTCCACTCCACTCCACTCCACTCCACTTCACTCCACTCCACTCCACTCCACAGCACCTTGCATGCCTACCCCATCATCACTCACAACTTCCTCAGCTCCTTGAGGCTGCTGATTGCCTCTGGAATGGAACCAGAAAGACCGCATTTGCGAAAATTCCTGGGGCATGGAGAGGTTGGGAGGAGGGCGGAAAGGAAAAGGGTGGGGAGCAGAATCGATTTTATCAAAGTGTTAGTTTGGAAACTTAAATCTCCAACTTGAAGTAACAGTAATATTTCATTGTTATCTACTTATAGAGGGTAGGGCTTTGGAGGTGAAAGACAGGGAGGAAAACGATGACCAAGACGCAGGGAGAGATAGGAAGGTGGAAAGCTGAAGTGGAGGGTGCATGGGGGCAGAGCAGTGCAGAGCTCCATTTTCTTTGGCAGATTATGCTGATATGAGAGGGAAGGGAAGGTTAGTGAGGGAGGAGAATGGGCGCACAATACGGTGAGTCCGGTGAGGTTGCCTAGGCACGCGGGAATGATGCCACTCATGCTTCTGCTGCCTTGCAAATCCCTGACGCATGATGGCGTGGATAGCATGGGATGGCATGGGATGGCATGGGATGGCAAGGGATGGCAAGGGATGGCATGGCATAAGAACGAAGCTCCTAGAGGATGTGTGAGAGCGCATGCTGGTGCTGCTGGTCTAGGGTTCTTAGAGTACGTAAAGCACAGAAGTTGCCATGGCTCTGGAGAAGCCTCAGAGGCAAAATATATATAAAAAAAAAGTTACACACACACAAGTGAAGATCTAAAAGGGACAAGGGCGTGAAAGCAAAACTGAGAGAAAAGGGAGATCTGGAATCTCCGTGTGTCAACATCTTTTGAGCTAGCAGACGTGTTGGGAAATTGAAAATCTTTTGCGCAACCGAGAAGAATGTGTGACATCGCTTCTAAATCCGGTTCTCGAAGGCATGAGAGACGTTGTCTCTCCCCCTCAAGACTAATGGCTTGCAATGCTTTCCAGTCCGGTTGACCCGGTAAGTTGACTTGGGGCAAGAATGGCTCGCAGGATTCATACTGCACTATTAGAGAAACTTGATTTGAAACAATCCACGGCAGCAACTCAGCAACTCAGCACACATGACCGACCAAGTTAACGTCAGCTAGATTGGAGCACCACCTTCATCCCAAGGGGCCCGTGGAAAGCAATGCGGGTATCCCTCCTCCTTACAGGTCTTGCAGGTTGTTGTGAGACGTCTCAAAACACTCTTCCTTACAGATCTTGCAGGTTGGTGAGCGCTTCTATTGACTCGGGGATGGACCCTGACAGCATTGGCTCCATGATGCGCCTGCGATCATGTGCGGCACAGTGCGGTGAAGAGTGGCACAGAGAGATCCAGTGGGGTTACGGTGATTTCTTTAGAGCAGCATGTAGGCGAGGAGAGAAAGGGGGATGAAGCAGAGAGAGGAGGGGCGTAGGGGAGCGGTGGAGGTTGGGTGTGGGAAGGTTGAGAAGCATGGCAGTGCCTCACATGCACCTGCAGTGTATGTGTCTGCAGTGCATGTGTCTGCAGTGTATGTGTCTGCAGTGCATGTGTCTACAGTGCATGTGTCTGCAGATCTTTGAGCATTTTTGCTGATGGCAGAACATGGACTCATTCACCCTGCAGCTCCATCAATTTGCACCCATTCTCTCAACTATTCACTCTCAGAAATTCACTCACTCATTCACACAAGCACTCACTGATCCATCACACCTGTTCATCCCACAGCACCTTGCATGCCTACCCCCACCACCACTCACAGCTTCCGCAACTGCTTGAGGCTGCTGATTGCCTCTGGGATGGAGCCTGAAAAGTTGTTGCCCTTGATATCCCTGGTGGACGGAGAGGGTTGGGCGGAAACAGGGGGGAAGTGTAGAGAGGGGAGAGGAGTCTTTGGATGGGGAAGGTCGGAACAGAAGGTATGGGGAAGAGAGGTAAAACAGAAGGGAAGATAAAATGCAGTGCATGGATGGAGTGAAAGAAGTGCAGAGTCGTGAAAGCAAGCGAACTAGTATGGTACTCTGGAGTATACTGAGAGTATCGGAAAGGAAGTTGAGATAAAGAAAACGGTCATAACGGTACGATGTATGTACATGGGAAATGATGTAGGGTGGTGAATGGTGCATGGCATGGCAGATGGTGCATGGCAGATGGTGCATGGCAGATGGTGCATGGCAGATGGTGCATGGCAGATGGTGCATGGCAGATGGTGCATGGCAGATGGTGCATGGCAGATGGTGCATGGCAGATGGTGCATGGCAGATGGTGCATGGCAGATGGTGCATGGCAGATGGTGCATGGCAGATGGTGCATGGCAGATGGTGCATGGCAGCACGCACAGTGAAGTCAAGTCTGTGAGGCTGAAGATCCATGCAGGCAGCTCCCCAGACAGATGATCATGATGTGACACGTGCCTGATGATGCGCGCAGTTGAGAGAGAAGGAGCAGTGAAGAGGCAAGGAGCAGGGAAGTGCACGGAGCAGGGAGGAGCACGGAGCAGGGAAGTTGTCGGGAAGGGGGGGCGTCGAACACGTCGAACACGTCTGTGGATTTGCAAGGTGAACATGAAGAGCGAGGAGAACAGAAGAAGCGAGGAAGCATGGCACAAGGAGGTAGCAAGGCAAATAAACGGAGGATGGCTGGCTTAGAGCATCCGGGTTCCATCACATGCCATCACATGCCATCACATGCCATCACATGCCATCACATGCCATCACATGCCCCTCACCCGGCCTTACAGAGACTGCAGCTTCTGCAGCTGGGAGAGCTGCTCTGGTAGCGACTCCTGTAGATAGTTGGCGAACAAATGCCTGCTTGCACCACGCATGCACCACGCATGCACCATGCATGCACCACGCATGCACCACGCATGCACCATGCATGCAACATGTAGGTGGAGTGTTTAGCATCATCGGAGGATGGTGCAGGAGAGAGGAAAAGCTTGACCAGAGGCTGAAGGAAAGAAACGAGTGACAGGAGATGCGATGGAGTGGGGAGCAGTAGGCGATGCAGGTGGAAGCACAGAGATCATGGCGATGGGGTGTGAGGGGCCATATGGGGTGTGATGTGAGGGGCTAGATGGGGTGTGAGGCTAGATGGACATGGGGAGTCGACACAAATTTCGGGTGGAGTAACAACGCTGTAAGCCTCATCTTGCTCCACCACTTGCACTCATTCTCTCTCTTCAATCATTCACACACCCACTCACCCCCTCACCCACCCTCTCACCCTGCAATTCGCACCACCCACCCACCCACTCACCCCCCCCCCACCTGCTGTACCTCCTTCCTCCCCCCCCCCAAAAAGCACTGACAGGCGGGTGAGCTGCTGCAGATTTCCCAGTTCTTTCGGAATGGAAGCTTTGAGATTGCCGTGAGAGACGGTGGTGCTGCATTGCATTGATGGGCCGTGGCAGGCAGGAGGGGGAGAGGGCAGAAAGGGAAGACGGCAGGGAGGGGAAATGGCAGGGAGGGGGGACGGCAGGCAGGGGAAATTACAGGGAAGGGAGACGGCAGGGTGGGGGGGGTGGGGGAGAAAGGGGGGAAGAGGCGATTGGGGACAGAGGGCAGCAGAGCAGAGCGGATGAAGCGGTGGGAGATAGGAGAGGAGCGTCAGTGGAGCAGTAGAGGGGAGAGAAGAGAGAGCAGGAGGAGCATGCAGGCAGCAGGCGTGGGGCTGCTGCTGTTGTGAAATAGGCAATGGATCTGATTCACCCGAGAAGGGGGGTGGCAATAGGCATGCGGTTGGATGTGCACGCGAGAAGAGAGAAGTGCGTGCATGGGAGAAGAGAAGAGAGAAGTGCGTGCATGGGAGAAGAGAAGAGAGAGGTGCATTTGAGACGAGAGAGGTGCATTCGAGAAAAGAGAGGTGCATGGGAGGCAATATTGTACTGACAGGCCCATGGGAGAGGAACTTTTCCCTGAGAGATCCGGCAGCGAGCGAGGGATTTGTCTGCACAACTCTAATTCACTGTACGCAGGCAGCACGCACAAACATGGTGCAGAGGCAGCAGAAACATGGGTGGGTGGATGGCGATAATACGGGTGAGCAGAAAGAATGGACATAGGGGTAGGGGCAGAATCATAATAAAATGGATGGAAACAGGAGAGGCACAAGAGAGGGCGATGTGAGCGAGACAAAAGAAGAGAATAGAAGACAGGAGAGAAAGAGCAAGCCGAGTTCAACCAATCAAACGCAAGTCAGTCACATGCAAGTCAGTCACATGCAAGTCAGTCACATGCAAGTCATGCACATGCAAGTCAGTGGCATGCAAGTCAGTACAAGCAAACACAAGTCAGGGGGGGAAAGTGGAAGATGGAACGAGCAAGGGCCAAGGGGAAGGGAGAGTGAGACAGAAGGAGTCTCACAGATCCTTGAGATGGGACAATGCGAAGAGAGCAGTGGGCAGGGGGGCGACAAGACTGCATCCTCTAGTGTTGCTGTGGGAGGAGAAGGATGAAATGGAGAGGAGGAGAATAGACATTGAAACAAAAAATGATTTCAAACATGCGAAGGGAATGGAATTGAGGCAAGGGGACAATGCAGGGTGCACAGTACAATGACATGCTTACAGTGCAATGACATGCTTACAGTGCAATGACATGCTTACAGTGCAATGACATGCTTACAGTGCAATGACATGCTTACAGTGCAATGACATGCTTACAGTGCAATGACATGCTTACAGTGCAATGACATGCTTACAGTGCAATGACATGCTTACAGTGCAATGACATGCTTACAGTGCAATGACATGCTTACAGTGCAATGACATGCTTACAGTGCAATGACATGCTTACAGTGCAATGACATGCTTACAGTGCAATGACATGCTTACAGTGCAATGACATGCTTACAGTGCAATGACATGCTTACAGTGCAATGACATGCTTACTGTGCAATCATATGCTTACAGTGCAATGACATGCTTACAGTGCAATGACATGCTTACAGTGCAATGACATGCTTACACTGCAATGACATGCTTACAGTGCAATGACATGCTTACAGTGCAATGACATGCTTACAGTGCAATGGCATGCTTACAGTGCAATGACATGCTTACAGTGCAATGACATGCTTACAGTGCAATGACATGCTTACAGTGCAATGACATGCTTACAGTGCAATGACATGCTTACAGTGCAATGACATGCTTACAGTGCAATGACATGCTTACAGTGCAATGACATGCTTACAGTGCAATGACATGCTTACAGTGCAATGACATGCTTACAGTGCAATGACATGCTTACAGTGCAATGACATGCTTACAGTGCAATCATATGCTTACAGTGCAATGACATGCTTACAGTGCAATGACATGCTTACAGTGCAATGACATGCTTACAGTGCAATGACATGCTTACAGTGCAATGACATGCTTACAGTGCAATGACATGCTTACAGTGCAATGACATGCTTACAGTGCAATGACATGCTTACAGTGCAATGACATGCTTACAGTGCAATGACATGCTTACAGTGCAATGACATGCTTACAGTGCAATGACATGCTTACAGTGCAATGACATGCTTACAGTGCAATGACATGCTTACAGTGCAATGACATGCTTACAGTGCAATGACATGCTTACAGTGCAATGACATGCTTACAGTGCAATGACATGCTTACAGTGCAATGACATGCTTACAGTGCAATGACATGCTTACAGTGCAATGACATGCTTACAGTGCAATGACATGCTTACAGTGCAATGACATGCTTACAGTGCAATGACATGCTTACAGTGCAATGACATGCTTACAGTGCAATGACATGCTTACAGTGCAATGACATGCTTACAGTGCAATGACATGCTTATAGCAATGACATGCTTACAGTGCAATGACATGCTTACAGTGCAATGACATGCCCATCGTCATCACAGCGCACGTTCTCGAATTTGTCGCAATCCTCGCCCCTGATCCATGTCCCCACACCCCGCATATCGTTCCAATCGTGTGCTAGACTCGCCAAAGCATCCACTGCCATCCATCCAGGACACCATCCATAGACATGCACCCATGCCATACCATCCATGCCATAAACCATCCAGGCCATACCATCCACGGCAGCATGTCATGGCGCCGAACGTGTTGGAAGCATTCCCAGGGGAGAGGCGAGCAGAACAAGGAGGGTAGAGGGATGGGGTGGGTATAGCGGGATGGGCAGTTGCCACCAGCAGTGATGGCTGTTGCCGGTAAGAGTCCATGTTGCTGACTCGGATGATGCTGACTCAGCTGCACCCTGAACGGTATGGAACACGACATGGCTGACTTTCAGGAACCTGTGTCTGTCAAAAGGAGGAGGCGGTGGGAAGGGAACGGGCTTACTGTCAGCACGGCTTAACGGCTTGCTCTCGGCTTAACAGCTTCCTCTCGGCTTAACGGCTTACTCTCGGCTTAACGGCTTACTCTCGGCTTAACGGCTTACTCTCGGCTTAACGGCTTACTCTCGGCTTAACGGCTTACTCTCGGCTTAACGGCTTACTCTCGGCTTAACGGCTTACTCTCGGCTTAACGGCTTACTCTCGGCTTAACGGCTTACTCTCGGCGTCCACCACGGGAGCAGCGCGTGCGAGGGGCATGCAGCAGCGCGCCACCACCAGCGCCACCACCGCCGCTCTCGCCGCCATCGTGACGCCGCCGCGCCTCGCCATCGCCGCGGCGCAATGCGGCCCGATAGCGCGCGTGTTGCCCGTGTGACGCCTGGCGCACGTATCCGGCGAACGTGGGCAGCTTCGTTGCTAGATTTTTTTGTTCGACTCAAAAGTTGAACTTTTGTCACACGATACCTTGCCTGGCTGGGTCAGCTTTGTTGCTAAATTGCGTGCTCAAGAGCCGTTGCCTGTGCACGTTGCAGGGCAAGAGAACGTCAGGAGAACAGAAACCAAAGCCGTTCCGCTGCAAGCAGTAGTACTATTGGGCGACTGTAACGCGAAATTGCACTAATCACGTGTGCTACACGCGAAATGCTAAAAGATAGTAGTACCCTGTTCTCCCCTTTGTCTTCCCCTTTCACGACGGGAGTCTTGCAAAACACTGATGCAAGGAAAGTAGTGTGATGGGTGCAATCAACCAGCTTGTCCCATGGCGCTGCGTAACCAAGAAAATGGGAATACCGGTGGTTCTGGGTTGCGCCATGAAACAATGAAGATCAAAAGCTCGCCCACGTCAAATCGCTTCTTTCTGCAAACGTCGCCGTTTTACAAAGCACAAAAACGCCCCCGAGATATGCAAAGCGCTCTGCACCGCATAGCAGCGTCGGTGTTGTTTGAATCAAAGCTGCCATGAAATTGAAGACTTGGGCTGACGAAGTGGTTGGTAGGGGGGTTTGGGAAGGTGTGACGGTGCAGAGAATAACGCGTTACAGTATAACTTCTCTTTAGAAAATAGGGATTTAGCGCTGTGTATGTCATCAGACTTCAACATTTGTGATGCACTACATAGACGTTGTACAGTCTGCAACAAACCCTAATTCTCGTTTTTTTTTTCTTTCTCTCAGAATTCTGTGCCAGCCACATGGACCTTTTGAATCATTTGCCTGTCGCCATTATCATCTTAACACAATAATTCAATTGCACAAGTAGCATACAGATACACACCTCAGATTTTAATAAGTGGTATAGTCTTCCTGTAACGCGTTAATCCTTGCACCGTCAGGTGTTGCCCCACCTTCCCACCAACCACTGGTCAGCCAGAGTCTTCAAATTCATCGTGGCTTTGACGTTGCTATGCGATGCAGAGCGGTTTTGCGCATCTTAGGGACGTTTTCGTGGTTTGTACAACGGCGTCGTTTGGTGACAGAAGCGATTGATGTGGGTGAGCTTTTGATCTTCACCACCCAGCATGGCACAAGCCAGTTCAGTGCGTCATCCCTCCATCGAAGTGCTCTTTCCTAGTACTAGCGGTCGCGTTTCGTGCTCTTCCCAAGGCCCATGTGGCAGACGAAGGCAACGACGGGAATCAGATGCACGAGATTAGAATTCCGCGTTACAATCGCCATTGACAGCAGCTGCCAGCTGGAGTCGACTTTCTCCAGCAATAGTAGATTCCCGTTTTACTCAAAGAGTCTCGATCGCCCTCGCTGCAACGCGCGCACGCCGCAAATTTGCGTTAACGGCCCACGAGCACGCCGCATACGACATAGCAGCACGAGCTAAACAAGCACACGGGCAGCGCGCGCGCGGAGAGCATCGATGGGGCCGCGTTGCGCCGCGGCGATGGCGAGGCGCGGCGGCGTCACGATGGCGGCGAGAGCGGCGGTGGTGGCGCTGGTGGTGGCGCGCTGCTGCATGCCCCTCGCACGCGCTGCTCCCGTGGTGGACGCCGAGAGTAAGCCGTTAAGCCGAGAGTAAGCCGTTAAGCCGAGAGTAAGCCGTTAAGCCGAAAGTAAGCCGTGATGACAGTAAGCTGTGCTGGCAGTAAGCTGTGCTGGCAGTAAGCTCTGCTGGCAGTAAGCTGTGCTGGCAGTAAGCTGAGCTGGCAGTAAGCTGTGCTGACAGTAAGCCGTACAGGACCCAGCTTCTTCGTCCCACCTCCTCCTTAAACGAAAACTCTGACGTTGAGCCGTCTTATGTGCTGTGCTGAGCTGGGTGGAGGTGACCATTCTGTAATGGCTCTTGCTGTACTATGCTATGCTGTGCTCGTGTGCGATAATACGATTCTGAAATGTGCGATAGTAAGATCGTGTGCTATGTTATGCAAGTTCAAATTTGCTGCATTGCTTCATCATCTCCCTGCTTTTGAGGCGCCTCTATCACAGCTGCCCTTTTTGAACCAGTTCAAATGCGCTCCACTCCCTGCTCAAATGCGCTGCACTGATTCATCATCCATCCATTCCCTGCTCTCCACTCTGCTCCCCTCGCTCTCTTCCTCACTGCTCTGGCCATTCATGCATGACATTGCAATGACATGGCATGTTAAGGTGTGCAAGGCGGCATGAAGTTGCGTGGTGTGACATGATATGGTGTGGCATGGTATGGTGTGGCATGGCAAGGAGTGTTGTGCAAGGTATGGTATCGTTGGATTAACATGGCATTGGAAGATGGCATGGGTAAACGTGAATGGCATGGGTGAATGGCAGGGGTGAATGGCATGGATGAATCATGGCAGTGGAAGTATTGGAGAAGCTGGCACCCGCATGGCATCAGTTCAATGGCACGGACACATGGAGCAGAAGCAGAGATTGTGACAGCATGGCTCTTGTGCGATGTGATGACAACGGGCATGTCATTGCACTGTAAGCATGTCATTGCACTGTAAGCATGTCATTGCACTGTAAGCATGTCATTGCACTGTAAGCATGTCATTGCACTGTAAGCATGTCATTGCACTGTAAGCATGCCATTGCACTGTAAGCATGTCATTGCACTGTAAGCATGTCATTGCACTGTAAGCATGTCATTGCACTGTAAGCATGTCATTGCACTGTAAGCATGTCAACTGTAAGCATGACATTGCACTGTAAGCCTGTTGCATCCCGTTCATCCCTCCATTCAACCCTCCCTCTCTCCCTCCTTTCTTCCTCTGCTCTTCCTTTCCCCCCTCCCAGCAACGCAAGCTTAAGCGATAACTACGTTGTGGCCCCCCAGGGGTTCAAGGTCTATCTAGTTGATAATGCCTTTGAGCTCCCTTTTCCGGTGACCATCACAGCCTTGAAGCACCTCACACTGCTGTGAGTTGCTCGGCATGGCAAGGCATGCGTGAGATGGGATAATCTGGTTGCATAGAAGAAGTGAGGGCAATCGTTTTGAACCGCACTGTTTCAAAGTAAAGCTCCTTCGTCTCCCCTCCCCTTACCCAACCCCCTTAAACAGCTCCCTTCGACTCCTCCTTCTATACCACTCCTTTCCTCCAGATCCATAACGGGAAGTGGTCTCAGCGGCTCCCTGCCTACTGCGCTCTTTACCATGCCCAATCTCAAGCACCTGTGAGACTCCTCCCTCCTCACCCGCTCTCTTGTTACTAACTACCATACCTAACACTCAAGAGCACATCTTCGTTACTCCTTTTTGAGAATTCTATCCAGCAACTCCTCATGCTCCTGCGAGGCTCCTGCTCTGCTCGCCCATTCACTTCTATTCTACCATACCCAACCCTCCCTTCCGTTGCATCCTCACCCACTCTCCTCCTTACCCACCCCTCCCCCGTCCCCGTCTTCGTCTGCTCTTGCTTCCGTCCCCTTCCCTGCTGTCATTGGATCTAGGAAATTGCCGAAAAACAAGTGCTTGTTATTTGTGTTAACAACTCTCCTCCGCAGTGGCCAGTCTGGCCCATCTGGCCCATGTGGTCGATCTGGCCATGTGGTCAATCTGGCCATGTGGTCGATCTGGCCATCTGGCCCATCTGGCCCTCTGGCCCATCTGGCCCATTGCTGCTACCACTTCTCTGACAGCTCAAACGTTCTGCTTCCCTTGACCCCCTGTGTTTCTCCCTTGGGCTCTTGCACACTATCTGCCTGCATGTTGCATTGCATGGGCGTGTGTTATGTCTGCTCACATGGTTCATGTCTTTTCACTATGCATATATGCAGTGACCTCACCAGCAACAAGCTCTCAGGCAGAATACCTGATGCAGTAGGGCTTGCAACATGCCTCCAGACCATGTCAGTCCATCCATCGATTCATCCATCCATCCATCCGTCCATCCATCCATCCATCCATCCATCCATCCATCCATCCATCCATCCATCCATCCATCCATCCATCCATCCATCCATCCATCCATCCATCCATCCATCCATCCATCCATCCATCCATCCATCCATCCATCCATCCATCCATCCATCCATCCGTCCGTCCGTCCGTCCGTCCATCCATCCATCCATCCATCCATCCTTCCATCCATCCATCCGTCCATCCATCCATCCATCATTCTACCGCCTTTCACCCATATGCCTACTGCAGGGATCTAAGCTACAATTACCTCCGTCTTTTATGGCACCTCAAAAGAATTCTGCCGCCTTTCACCCATATGCCTACTGCAGGGATCTAAGCAGCAATTACCTCCGTGGCTCCCTCCCTGCATCCATGGGCAACCTCTCTCATCTCACACGCCTGTTAGTCCTATCAATGCCAATGCCCTGGCTCTCCCCGTCCCTCCACGTAATGAAAGGTTGTATTTGAGACGTCTCAAAACCTTCCCTTGGCAAACTCTTTCACCTCACGTGCTTGTTTGTCCCCTCTTAATACCAATGCCTGACTCCACACCACAAGCCACCCAAGACACGGCATGGCATGGCATGGGAAGTCATTGCATGGCATGAGACATGGCCTGGAGTTGCATGCATGGCGTGGCTTTGCATGGCATGGCTGTAACCCATCCGTTTGAGCCTTCCCCCAAACCCTCTGTTGCTTGCGCTTCAGGCCATTGCCTGCAGGTCTGCTCCATATCCTCTACTCGATAGTCTCCTAAGAGCCTCAAAAGGCCCCTCTCTTCAACTCAGCCCTAAACCCTTACCTCTACAACTACTTTTTTGAAGGCGCCTCAGCAGTCTACCCTTTTCTTCATCTCCTATGTACAGGCCTAAACCCTTACATCTACAGGCACTGCATTACCCCTTTCAACAACTCTCTCCATTCATTATTCCATCGCACTCCCTTCACACAGCACCCTCACAGATATGAACCTTCATGGCTCCTTGCCTGCTGCTCTCTTCACCATCCCCACTCTCAAGCACCTGTGAGTCGCCTGCTCCCTCTTCTACCTCCTCCTCCACCGTCCCTCACTTGTTTCATCCCAAGTTTTCCCCTTTTTCACCCGTCTTTTCCCACCTCCCTCAATCCCTCCTTGCTGCCTTGACTGATTGGGAGTCTTAAGAGCCAGATGCCCGCACCTGGTGTGTGCTACCCGCACCTGCTGTGTGCTGCTTGCAGCTTGGTGCCTTGAATATCATCAAGACTCTCCCATGTCAATTGTTCTTGCTTGTCTTGTCTATTCCCGTATTGTTACATATTGTCGCACCGTTCCTTCTCTTTCGGCCGTGGAGGTGTATTTTGTGTGTGGAGGTGTATTTTGTGCGTGGAGGTGTATTTTGTGCGTGGAGGTGTATTTTATGCATGGAGGTTTATTTTGTGTACGGTTGAGAGATGACCAAGTTTCGCTCTCACAACTCATGTGTGCTTTCACAATGCATGTGTGCCTTCTATACCAGGTGTCTCCTGTATTCCATGTGTCTCCTGTATTCCATGTGTCTCCTGTATTGCATGTGTGCCCTATAATGCATGCATGTCTTCTATCACATGTGTGCACGTGATGCATAAGAGCAGTGTTATTACCACGACTCTTATCTCAGGCAGCATCCCTATCGAAGTGGGCCTCGCAACAGGCCTCCACACCCTGTCAGTCCATGCATCTGCGCATGGTGCATGTGTGCATACATGCATCTGTGCATACGTGCATGTGTGCATACATGCATCTGTGTATGTATGCGTGCATGTTCGCATACATGCATCTGTGCATGCGTGCATGTGTGCAAATGAGCATGTGTGTATTCATGCTACCTCTGGCTCCCTCTGCACCTCGCATCTACAAACTTCAACCCACATTGGCCCTCCTGTGTGACTCAGGAGTCTCGACCATGTGTTTCCATCCATCCATCCACCCCTGATCCCAAACACCCCTTTTTATCTCCATCCAACCTCCCCTTTTCATCTCCATCCAGACACCCATTTTTTCCTCCATCCAACCACCAATTGTTTCCTCCATCCAACCACCCATTTTTTTCTCCATCCATCCACCCTTTTTTTTCTCCATCCATCCACCCTTTTTTTTTCTCCATCCATCCACCCATTTTTTTCTCCATCCATCCACCCATTTTTTTCTCCATCCATCCACCCTTTTTTTTCTCCATCCATCCACCCTTTTTTTCTCCATCCATCCACCCATTTTTTTCTCCATCCATCCACCCATTTTTTTCTCCATCCATCCACCCTTTTTTTTCTCCATCCATCCACCCTTTTTTTTCTCCATCCATCCACCCATCTTTTTCTCCATCCATCCACCCTTTTTTTTCTCCATCCATCCACCCTTTTTTTTCTCCATCCATCCACCCTTTTTTTTCTCCATCCATCCACCCTTTTTTTTCTCCATCCATCCACCCTTTTTTTTCTCCATCCATCCACCCTTTTTTTTCTCCATCCATCCACCCTTTTTTTCTCCATCCATCCACCCATTTTTTTCTCCATCCATCCACCCTTTTTTTTCTCCATCCATCCACCCTTTTTTTTCTCCATCCATCCACCCTTTTTTTTCTCCATCCATCCACCCTTTTTTTTCTCCATCCATCCACCCTTTTTTTTCTCCATCCATCCACCCTTTTTTTTCTCCATCCATCCACCCTTTTTTTTCTCCATCCATCCACCCTTTTTTTTCTCCATCCATCCACCCTTTTTTTTCTCCATCCATCCACCCTTTTTTTTCTCCATCCATCCACCCTTTTTTTTCTCCATCCATCCACCCTTTTTTTTCTCCATCCATCCACCCTTTTTTTTCTCCATCCATCCACCCTTTTTTTTCTCCATCCATCCACCCTTTTTTTTCTCCATCCATCCACCCTTTTTTTTCTCCATCCATCCACCCTTTTTTTTCTCCATCCATCCACCCTTTTTTTTCTCCATCCATCCACCCTTTTTTTTCTCCATCCATCCACCCTTTTTTTTCTCCATCCATCCACCCTTTTTTTTTCTCCATCCATCCACCCTTTTTTTTCTCCATCCATCCACCCATTTTTTTCTCCATCCATCCACCCTTTTTTTTCTCCATCCATCCACCCTTTTTTTTCTCCATCCATCCACCCTTTTTTTTCTCCATCCATCCACCCTTTTTTTTCTCCATCCATCCACCCTTTTTTTTTCTCCATCCATCCACCCTTTTTTTTCTCCATCCATCCACCCTTTTTTTTCTCCATCCATCCACCCTTTTTTTTCTCCATCCATCCACCCTTTTTTTTCTCCATCCATCCACCCTTTTTTTTCTCCATCCATCCACCCTTTTTTTTCTCCATCCATCCACCCTTTTTTTTCTCCATCCATCCACCCATTTTTTTCTCCATCCATCCACCCTTTTTTTTCTCCATCCATCCACCCTTTTTTTTCTCCATCCATCCACCCTTTTTTTTCTCCATCCATCCACCCTTTTTTTTCTCCATCCATCCACCCTTTTTTTTCTCCATCCATCCACCCTTTTTTTTTCTCCATCCATCCACCCTTTTTTTTCTCCATCCATCCACCCTTTTTTTTCTCCATCCATCCACCCTTTTTTTTCTCCATCCATCCACCCTTTTTTTTCTCCATCCATCCACCCTTTTTTTTCTCCATCCATCCACCCTTTTTTTTCTCCATCCATCCACCCTTTTTTTTCTCCATCCATCCACCCTTTTTTTTCTCCATCCATCCACCCTTTTTTTTCTCCATCCATCCACCCTTTTTTTTCTCCATCCATCCACCCTTTTTTTTCTCCATCCATCCACCCTTTTTTTTCTCCATCCATCCACCCTTTTTTTTCTCCATCCATCCACCCTGTTTTCAGCTGTTATCCCTCCCTTGATTCTGAGTGCCGCCTCACCCCCATGTTTCTGTACACGGCCTGTAGAGATTTAAGCCACAACTGGCTTTCAGGCTCCCTCCCGGCTTCCCTGGGAAACCTTTCTTCTCTCCTGCACTTGTCAGTCCTCCCTTCAATCCATCCGTCCCTCCTTTACCAACGCAACACCACCACACCAGTCTTTCCTCCCCTTATCGACTACATCTCTTCACTTCACCCCGCGCTGTCTTCTCCCTGGGGCTTGCACAGCCTACCATGCCACAAACAGACAGTTTATCCCCTACCAAAGTACCATACTATGCACCATCTCCTTGCCCATGCACCATCTCCTTGCCCATGCACCATCTCCTTGCCCATGCACCATCCATCGCACATGCCATGATTCACGCGACGTGCTATGTGCCATCAGCCATGGAGTCATTATTTATCCATGTGTCTCAATTCCATGGAGTTCCATGTCTCAACAACTTACACCTAGAAGGCATGTTTGGATGGTGAGTCGAGTTTAATCCGACTCATTGCTGCGAGTTTTTGGGACCTCTCAAGTCGAGTCGAGGCTAGAGTTTTTCTTACACTCGGGGTCGACTCATAACTTGACCAAAACGTCAAACTCAAATACAAAAGCTTGTTTTGAGTTTAAAGAACGTTGCCACGAGTCGAGTACAACTCAACTTGTGATATTCTCCCCCTCACCCCCCACCCTCTCCCCCCATGCCCCGTCCCCCCAATCCGTGTGCCACAAACTCGTGTAGCTCTCCCCTAACCTCACCATGTTTAGGGCAGGCCATTGTGTCTTGTGGATTGGTTGGGGTTGGCCTTCTACACACAATCTCAATCTCGCTCAAATATGTTCACCTGAAATATCAAATCACCAGCTCAACTCAAGTACTTACAGCACCTTCTGCCATGCCATGCCATGCACCCTCAGCATGCAGTACCATACCATGTTGAACGCACGTGGACTTATTTATTCTGCTAGAAACACAACGATATGCTTCTTTATTTCTCTCTGCTCATTCCCCGTTTCATTCTATCCTCTCTGGTTTTGGTCAACTATCCTCCTCGCCCTTCATCTCCAATGTTTCCCACATCTCCATTCCCTCCCGTGCTCTGCCCTCCCCGTCTCTGCCCTCCCCCTCTCCGCCCTCGCCTTCTCTCCATCTTCCCCCCTCCTCCCTTTCCCCCGCTTAAGTTCCTCCGCCACTTAAACCCGCCTTATCCATGCACCAGGAATCTCGAGAATAACAGGTTTTCAGGCTCCATTCCAGAGGCAATCAGCAACCTCAAGCAGCTGCGAGAGTTGTGAGTGGTGATGGGGTAGGCATGGGTAAGTGAGTGAATGAGTGAGTGAGTGAGTGAGTGAGTGAGTGAGTGAGTGAGTGGGCGAGTTAACAAGTGAGTGAGAGGGTGAGTGGATTCATCCTTATGTGCTAATAATAGAGCTGACACAAGCACACTGAATGAGTAACGATGGTGCTCTGGGGAGAATGAGGCAAAGTACGCCCGCCATAACAGATTACTGCTGATGCATGCACTGCTGATGCATGCGCTGCTGATGCATGCGCTGCTGATGCATGCGCTGCTGATGCATGCGGTGCTGATGCATGCACTGCTGATGCATGCGCTGCTGATGCATGCGCTGCTGATGCATGCACTGCTGATGCATGCACTGCTGATGCATGCACTGCTGATGCATGCACTGCTGATGCATGCACCGCTGATGCATGCGCCGCTGATGCATGCGCCGCTGATGCATGCGCCGCTGATGCATGCGCCGCTGATGCATGCACCGCTGATGCATGCGCCGCTGATGCATGCGCTGCTGATGCATGCACTGCTGATGCATGCACTGCTGATGCATGCGCTGCTGATGCATGCACTGCTGATGCATGCACTGCTGATGCATGCACTGCTGATGCATGCGCTGCTGATGCATGCGCTGCTGATGCATGCACTGCTGATGCATGCGCTGCTGATGCATGCGCTGCTGATGCATGCGCTGCTGATGCATGCGCTGCTGATGCATGCGCTGCTGATGCATGCGCTGCTGATGCATGCACTGCTGATGCATGCACTGCTGATGCATGCGCTGCTGATGCATGCACTGCTGATGCATGCGCTGCTGATGCATGCGCTGCTGATGCATGCGCTGCTGATGCATGCACTGCTGATGCATGTGCTGCTGATGCATGCGCTGCTGATGCATGCGCTGCTGATGCATGCACTGCTGATGCATGCACTGCTGATGCATGCGCTGCTGATGCATGCACTGCTGATGCATGCGCTGCTGATGCATGCGCTGCTGATGCATGCGCTGCTGATGCATGCGCTGCTGATGCATGCGCTGCTGATGCATGCGCTGCTGATGCATGCACTGCTGATGCATGCGCTGCTGATGCATGCGCTGCTGATGCATGCGCTGCTGATGCATGCCCTGCTGATGCATGCGCTGCTGATGCATGCGCTGCTGATGCATGCGCTGCTGATGCATACGCTGCTGATGCCTGCGTTGCTTATGCATGCACTTGTGATGCATGCGCTGCTGATGCATGTGAGGAAATGCATACCCACAAACTGTCCACCACACCCAATTTCTGCCTTGGCACGGGTCACCCTCACGCACACGAGGTGGCGTAAGAGTGTTTTGTTCTTATCATTCTCAACTTCTCCCATATCACACCGTTCCATCCACCCCTCCTTCCCCTACTTCATCCTCTACTCTCCCATCCATGTCGGCACCGGCTCACAGTGTACCACTCTACATCACACTTCACCGCACTGTACCGCACACTATCACAGGAGCCTTGGCAGGCAAAAACTTTCAGGGTCCATCCCCGAGTCAATTGGAGCGCTCACCAACCTGCAAGATCTGTAAGGACGACCAGGGCTTGCTGAGCCAAGGTGAGGAAACTTCAGCTTCAAGGGCGGAAAAAGCAGGTGACTTGGCTTGAAGTTGAAATTTGGTCTGGTTGATAGTCAGAGGCCACCAGAAAACACTGAGTCAAGTGAAGTGGATGATACAACGTGTCGAGTTAACCAGACTTGGAAAAGGCTTGTGAGCTTCAGAACGGGCTTCTTTTTGAGGGGGGGGGGGGGGGGGGATTCGACATTGTAAAACTTCTCCCCTCCTTTTGATTCTTTTGACTTGCACATTTGTAACTTGGGCAGGATGCTGCTTAGGAACAGGCTGAGTGGCACCATTCCCGCCTCCATTGGCAACCTCACCGCACTCACCACCCTGTGCGGCCGTTCTCCCTCCACCCTACTCCTTTCTCCGTGCATCTCATTCTGCCTGCCACTCGTTTTCAACCTCTTGGTGCCTTCCGTGTTTGTGATTGTATCTGCTTGGTCACCAGGCTTTGATAGTATTCAACACAAAGGGCAGGGCTAGACAGGGATACGTGGAGGGGAGGCAGGGAGCGGGTCAGGGAGGGGGGGGGGAAGGGGCGGACGGTGGGAGGGAGGGAGGGAGGGAGGGAGGGAGGGAGGGAGGGAGGGAGGGAGGGAGGGAGGGAGGGAGGGAGGGAGGGAGGGAGGGAGGGAGGGAGGGAGGGAGGGAGGGAGGGAGGGAGGGAGGGAGGGAGGGAGGGAGGGAGGGGGAGTGCATGTGTCGCATGTGTGCATTCCTTGTTACTCAAAGCACACACATCTTACATCTCACGCAAAGCAACAGTACTTTCACTCTTTCAAGGCACCATCTCGGCCCTCTTCTCCTTCCCATGTCCATCCACCATCCACCATCCACCATCCATCCATCTCCAGGTATCTCTGGGACAATAGACTTGCGGGGACGATACCTGCTGGCTTCAGCAAACTCACTAACCTCAGAGAACTGTCAGTGTTGCTCTTTGTGAAGCTATTTCGGCTGTGCCAATTCTTCCAAGAAATGCCAACTCTACTGCTTCCATGACAGCACGTGCTCAACTTTGCCCATGACCCGCCTGTCCCCGTCTACTTGCAAAAGGGCGAATCCATACTAGACTTCTCAACAGGGTCTCCAAAACATTGGAATTGTTCCTTCCTTATCGTTTTTAAATGCATCTCATGGTGCCCGGCCCTATTCACCTTGTTTGTGAGCGAACTTTGAGGCACCTCAAAAACCCTTGTGAACGAATGGGCTGCGTCCGTTTAGCCCTCCCCGTTTTGGGTTTCGTACGAAGTGAGGGAGAGTACATTAGAAGGGGAGGATAGTGGAATTTTTGCGTAACTTTGGCAAGACTCAACTCCTCCAACAGGCATCACTAGTTCGCTTTGCTTGCACCTCCTCCTCCTCAGACGTCTTTTTGTTTCCCACTCACCAACCCGCATCTTTTACCTTGCCTTCCCTCTTTTCTTCCTCTTTCACTTCAATCCCCTTTCCCTTCAATCCACTTTCCCTTCAATCCACTTACCCTTCAATCCACTTCCCCTTCAGTCCACTTCCCCTTCAATCCACTTCCCCTTCAATCCACTTCCCCTTCAATCCAATTTCCCTTCAATCCTCTTGCCCTTCAACCGTCTTCCCACCTAATGCTGATTCCAGTTACTTTGCCAACAACCAGCTGGTAGGGCCGCTGCCCGCCATTCACCGCATGGCTCACCTCCAATACCTGCATGCTGAAGAAAACTACCTCAAAGCCACAGCAAACCCACTCCCTCAATGCCCCACCACTTCCACTCCCTGCAACGATACCTCCGGATGCCCCGTCTTGTACATCTACAAGAACTGTCTTGCAAGCGAACCGATCGGGTGCAACTATGACACGCAACACGGCTGCCTTAGCACCCGCGCGGTCCTCTGCAGGGAATTCCAGGCCCAGAGGCATGACAGCGAGTGCCGGGCGTTCTGTGGGGCGCAGTTTCTCACACCACCATGCAGCGGCCATGGCGTGTGCTCCATCGTGCCTCACCCCTCTTCTGACCTGCCTGTGTGTAAGGATGAGCACCCGCCGCCGTTCTGCAACCCCAATGAAGGCAAGGCGCAGTGCACCTGTGATGAGGGGTACACGCCAGGGACTGCTGCAGGCACTTGTGTCCCTCGAGGTATGCCTGCCTGCCCGCTAATGCCCTTGCTGACTACTATCATGTGGTTTTATTCTTTTCCGATGTCTTCAGCGTTGTGTGTGCATGTGCTTGTGTACACAACACCTCCCTTCACAGTATCCTGTTACCTCCTCCAAAGTTCCCTCCACGCATACCCTGCTTTGCTGTTTTCATGGTACTCTCCTCCCTCTCTAATCATCCGCCCTGTCAGCAGAAATCTCCTCTGATCTCTCAGGATTCCAGCCACTATATAACTTGCTGCTGCCGCAGCTACTCCCACTGGCCGTGCTGCTGCTGATGCTGCTCTTGCTGCTGGCACTATTGCCAAGGCGCATAAACCTCCGACCCACCTTTTCCCCCCCCACACGCTACTTCTTTTCAAAGAGAGCCCTTGCTGTCCGGCAAGCTGGCAGTGGAGTGTAGGAGAGGGCAATTGATGGAGCATGGGATAGAAGGGCACACCACAACTGCCACCACCACCACCAGTCCATCATGCAGTGTACTCAAGCTGCTTACTCAGCAGATTGAAGTTGTGTTGAATTTGCCACACTTGTAACTTGGGTGTCCGATTTGTTTCGTTGGCACGTCTTTCTTCACTGCATTAACAGTACCTCTAACAGAACTGCTCACAATCAGGCTGTTCAGTTACACTATCAGAGCAGTCAAAGGTTTCAGATCAGACTGATTCTTTTGTGAATTCCCAAAGGCTCAAAATAGCGGCCTTCTATGGTCCTTCCTAATGACCGACTTTTCATGCTGGACATGCCAAATGTCCTTTTGGATTTCAGTCTCATTTTTTCAATTTAGCTGCACATATACATCCACCAAATCTCTTATTATTTCACGTCATCTTGGCCATGACTGGTGACCATATTGCTGCGTTACTGAAGCTTTGGCTGAGCCAGTTCGCCCTCGTGAGTTTTGACTCATGCCTCGTGATTGTTCTTGGGTGTGTAAGGGCACTCGTAACCAGGTTAGAGTGTGCAAGATGGAGGATCAGGTCGCATCACAGCCTGGTGGCAAGAAGTTGGTGGCAAGAGAGTTGCGCACGCGATTGGTCCAAAACAGATGCTCGGCCAATTCGATTGGTCAACAGTTTTTTTCCACCAATAGCGTGCGGTCTCTCTCGTTCTCTCTCTCTCTCTCTCTCTCTCGTTCTCTCTCTATCGTTCGCTCTCTCTCTCCATATTTACTGCTTCAGTTTGCTGCTTCCATTTTCTGCTTTCACTTTCTGCTTCCATTTTACGCTTCTGTTTTCTACTTTGTTTTATTTGCTCTATTTTCTCTTATGTTGACCCTACCTTGCCTTCACTTTTCTTCATCCGTAATTTTGTATCCTGATTATTCATGTTTAACGATTTTCTATGATTTCCTTTTCTCTTCATCTTTTCTTTTTGTTCTCAGGAGTCTTGATGACCAGAAAGACGAGTCTAATCTGGAGAATTTGTAGTTGTCACTTATAACATTTACCATATTACCGTTTTTGATTTGTTTTGCATCGTTTATGCATTATCGTGGGTTTCCGGCTTTTTTTGTTTTTTTTTTTTCCTGTTTTTTTTTTGTGCATGCGTTTGGTTGTTGTGAATGTGTTTGCTTATCTTGTCCGAATGTTATTATTGTCTAGCCTGTAGTGGGGTGCTCTATAGCGAGTACAACCCAGTTAGGGTTTGCTATATGTACCCCAACTGCTGCTAGTGAAACCTCTCTCCTTTCAATCATTCTTGCCTAGTTCTTCTAACATGCTATCAGAGCAGGTCGACCCCCTTGGGTCGATCCTGTGGGTGGGCCCGCCACCTAACTGCTTCCGCTGCTATTCTGCTTCTCGCACGCCTCGGGCGCGCGCCGTCTTCTTCCTGCCGTGCGCTCAGGGCGTACGGCGGTTTTCTGCCCGCCGTGCGCCCCGAGGCGCGCGGCGGTTTCCTGCCCGTCGTGGCGCCCCCGGGGACCTGCGCGCTGCCCCCCGTCGTCCTCCTCCCGTCGCCTCGTCGCGGCGCCCTGGGGGCCCGCGCGTCCCCCCCCTCCCGTCGCCTCGTCGCGGCACCTTGGGGGCCCGCGCGCCGCCCCCTCCCGTCGCCTCGTCGCGGCGCCTAGGGGGCCCGCGCGCGGCCCCTCCCGTCGCCCGTCGAGCCGCCCTCGGGGGCCCGTGCGCGGCCCCCCTCCCGTCACCCGCCGTGGCGCCCTCGGGGGGCCCGCGCCCTGCTTCTTCGTGGCGCCCAAGAGCCACCCCGCTGCCTCCCTTTCCCTCCGTGCCCCGCCCCTGCTGTTTCCCGCGCTCCTGCCTGCGTTAGGGTTTGGGGGTGGCGGGCATGGGGGTGACCGGTGTGGGTAACCTGCGGCTCCTCCTCCTCCTCCGTCTCCCACTGCTGCAGCTGCCGCTGAGGGGGGTGGGTGTGTGGGAGCCGAGGGTTTAGGGTTTAAGGGGGGTGCCGTGGAAGTGGAGCTAGGGTGTCAGCAGGGGGTGTGTGAGAGGGGCGTGGGACGGTCGGGGGAGGTTGCGTGGAGGTAGCCGTCGTGACGCCAGCAGCGCCAGTAGTCCGGATGCCCTCGCGCGTTTCGGTAGCCCAGCGAGCCTGCTTCGCCAGTCGCCTGTGGGTCCGTTGCTCCTGTGTGTGCTCGTCGTAGCCGCGGAGCCAGATACTCCCGTAGTCCGGTGCCCTCGTGCGCTCGGTAGCCACTGTGCGCGCCACTCCTGTTGCCCGTGTGTCTGCAGCTTCAGTCGGCGCCTTTCATCTTCTCGCCCTCACAGTCTCTCCTCCTCCTCACTTGCCCTCTATGATCACCTCTAGCTTTGCTTATAATTGTGAACTATTGCTATGCCTGCTCATTGTACTGATTACACCCCACTTTGGCTATGGGGGTGTGTCAGAATGTTATTATTGTCTAGCCTGTAGTGGGGTGCTCTATAGCGAGTACAACCCAGTTAGGGTTTGCTATATGTACCCCAACTGCTGCTAGTGAAACCCCTCTCCTTTCAATTATTCTTGCGGGAAAGTTCTGCGATCGTTTGTCTGCATTGCAGAAGATATGACGTTCAAGTTAGGATGTCAAAACACGAGCGTAGTGCACTACTTGAAAAGTGGCACTATCCAGGTAAGATAAAATCCACTGCACTACGGTAAAAGCCTGACGCACAGTGCGGAATTTTAAAGTAAAAAATTCCAACAGCAGCGCGCCCCAATAGCACGTTATTCTCATATCATTTCCGCTCAATACCCACCGCTCTAAAGAAAGATATGACCATTGCAAAACGTGAATTGAGCCATATCTAATTGAACGAAAAGGATACGCCGTAACATCCCCTGCGTTGACTGACTTTTTTTTTTTTTCATTTTGTGAATATTATTTTATTTCACTCCCCTGCGTTGACGACGATATGTTGCCACGTGTGAGAGCTTGACGGTTGACTTAAACCAGACAGCCACACACGTTGACCAAAAATACTGTTCGGTGGTTGCAAGCAACTTTTGCGGTGTATTCGTTTTTCCCAACCGCAAGCGCCCTTGTCCGCTATGGCAATGTAAATGCCCTTGTCTGATTCCCATGTGTATTTGCTTGTATTGGTAAGGTGAAAGTTGTCTTCACAGAAATTAGGGCTGGCGAGAACTTGGGCGGCGAGCAACCCTAGGCGATTCCACGCCATGGCGCTTGCCATTGAATGCGGCCATTGTATTGCCGCCATACCATCTAAGCTTTGGTTCCGAAGCTATCACGCCCGCCATCCCCATCAGGCCGAGAGTCGGAGTACTAGTAGAGAGCCTCTCCACTCAGACTTGTAGTAGTTTTCATTTCGAGATGCAGTGACTGCATCTCTCCTTTCCTCTGCAGTGCTACTACTAGACATGGAGCGCGTGGCGGCACTTCTCTTCGTCCTCTTCTGTACGTAGTAGTACTAGCTCTTTGCTTTTACCCGTGGCTACGGCCACGAGGCGCTGCTTTCCTAACGCCGTTTCTGGCGCTGCTTTGCCGTTTTGGTCACCGTGTGATGTATCCCCTCGGACATGCCGACTCACGTGTCCCGCGCATGCAGGTGCGGCGTTCTTCACTGCCGTGTCTGCCTCGATTTTCCCGCCATTCCCCGTACGCGACGGAAGTGCTTCAGCCGCATCTGCCGCTGAGGTCGCCAAGCCTTTGAAGTTGAAAGAAAAGATTCTTTGTAAGTCTGCCTTGGACCTCGGCTTTTGCACTCGGTGCAGCAGCGTCAGGTTGTTCCCAAACAAATGAAGTTCCCACGTTTTTGGGAGAAGGTTGTTCCCAAACAAATGTGTTGCATCATCGAGTTCCATGTGTTCATGGTTCCTTACACCTGGCGCCGCTTGAAGCCGTTTCGCTTGAAGTTCACTCCTTTTGTCTTTTCACCCATATGCGCCCCTTTCCTCTTGCGCACGTGCCATTCCTCCAGCTAAGTTCGTGGCCAAGTTGGTCCCTACTGCGGTCTATGGCGACAAAGGTGCATCGGGAAAATTTGTTCAGAAGTTGGTGAGGTGCGTGCGTCTCCTTGCAAGCTGCTGCTTTGTTCCTTAAACTCATAAGAAACCAATCTCTGAGTCAGAACTTTTGTGTTCTTGAACGGTCACAGCCCCTATCTCCGGTCAACCCCAGCCTCAAAGCCCCCACCCCCTTCTCTTCCCCGAAAATCTTCCTCCATGCCCTGTTGGCAGGCACTCAGCAACGGTGTACTATATCTGTGTTTTTGCCAAAGTTTTGAATCTCAAATCTGCTAGAGTGCCGCCTAGTACTTTTTGGTACACCCATACCTGCACTAGCGTTACGTCCTCTGGCAACGGAGCAGATTGGGTTAACATCACCAGTAAGAAGAGTGCTCGCCGCAAGCGCTACAGCTTCAAGTTCAAGTATGATTACGGGCCATACAGTCTGGCTCTGGCCCGTCAGTTTCAAGAACAAGATATGATATCCGATGGCCCTTACATACGTATCGGGTATGAGGCCAATCTTTTGGCACTCTGTGGGAAAAGTAAGAAAATATTTTGATTGTTGGGGTA